CTCTCCGACCCCTCCTTTCCCCGAGTCCCTGTAGTGCAGTGTACGGACCCGACAAACGTCGCACAGCGCATGATGGTGAATGACTTGTTGTGGTCCGACCCCGCCCCACCAAACCACCAACTCGATAAATACGGCTTTGGTCCGAACCCGCGTGGGCCTGATATTAAAACATTTGGTTCTCGCGCCGTTGACATGTTCTGTGAGCGCTACAACTATCAATACATCTTTCGTGCTCACCAGGAGAAGGCGGATGGTCTGCGATTGTCCGACAACGCCCGTGTTGTGACGATCTTCTCCACCTCCGACTACGCCGGGCATCAAAACGGCGCAGGCTGCATATTAGTGGCCAACGGAAAAATGCGCATGGCCATTAAGAAGCCGCAGCGGCAGGAGTCGAAGGAAGTTAAGGGCCCTGTTTCCCCACGTACACTGGGAAAGAGCGTCCCTGGATTTGTACCGCGTCTCAAGCGCCTGTAGAAGACTTTTCCAACCACTTCCTTTTACTCCTCTTCCTTCTGTCAGGCAACCCGATTTATTGCCAATGTATTATTGTGGCCGACATGTCGTAGAAAAGAAAACAAAGCAGCCGAAAAAAAAAAAAAAAAAGAGGTGAGAGAGAGAAAGAGAGTCTCTCTCTCTGTGTGTGGGAGGGGAACTATATATATATATATATATATATGTATTTTCAAGAGATGTATGTGTGCATTGCTTTACTTGCTCTCCAGGGAAGAGAAGGGGCGTGGAGGAAAACGAAGAAAAAAAGAAAAAGAAGAAGGGGGTTGGGAAGATATGTTCCTTCGATCAATAAATAAAACAAAAACAAAAAGAAAATGTTTTTATGTTTTAAATAAAATAAAAAGAGAGGAAAATGGGTGAAAGGCTTTTGCGCAGCTGAAAGACTTTTACGGTGAGAATATACACATGCATCTCTTCTTCCACCGCCCCCTCAAAAGGAATAAAGACCGCGAGCGAAGACTTTGTTTTGTGCGTTTATTCTTGCTTTTTTCCTCCTTTTTGCTTCTACCCTCCCCATTCCCCTTTCTTTCTCGCTATATTTGTTTATTTATTTATATACACGCACGGAGGTCTGTGGCGGCAGTCTTGTCGCTTTTGCACGATGTTGACTCAAGGGAGCAAAGGGAAGAAAAAATGGGTGTTGTGTTGTGTTGTGTTGTGTTGTGTTGTGTCCGTGTGTGAGACTTTCTTGTCGGCTTGTTGTTTTATTATTTTATTATCCCCTTCCCCTTGTTGAGTATACGCATTGCAGCATGTCTCTGCATCGCCTCTCATTTGCCCTTTCTTTTTAGCTGTTTTTTTTTTTTTTTTTTTTTTTTTCCCCTGCACGGAAGAGGGCTAATCTGGTCTTCTGTGGGTGGATCGGTGGGTGGGCCGTAGCTGCTGGCGGCGGGTAAAAAAGAGTAGGACGAGGCGGAGGATTTTATTATTATTCCCTTTTCTTTGGCCTGTTGACAAAAAAAAAATGGTCTTCTGCCCGTCGTCCATGGCGTTGGGTCGTGCTTTGCTGTTGTCGCCCTTCTGTCACCAACCCGTGGCGATCCCAGCTGCCCCGTCACTGCGGCGTCTTTTGCTTGAGGTTAAGCCGCGGAGCGAGAGCAGTCGAGAGGAGGTGGTGGCGGCTCTGCTGGAGAAACTACCCGCCCACTGCGACAGGGTGAAAAAGGATATGCTCTATGCACGCTACGCAAGCAGGTACTACCGCAGTCGCTACGGAAGAGGGATGGAGACGCGGGGAAAACAATTGCGGGGGCTGCTGGAGATGCCGGATGATGAAGTGCGGCGGTGGGCCCAAAGTCGATGTGTTCCTGTGCGGGACCCACTGGCGGCGCAATAAAATTGTCACAAATACGCTTGCTTTCTTTTTTTCCCGCTTTCACCCTCTCTCTCTCTCTCTTTGTCTCTCTCCCTCTTTGTGGCCTCTTCACTCTTCGTTTGTTTGTTTCTTTTGGGGTGGTCTATGTCTATCTGCAAGGTGGAGAGGAAGGAAGGGAACTGGGACGGTTTGCTGTCTGCTGTTCCGTGAGAGGAGATGCTGTCGAGCCGCCGCCACACCATTTTGCTGGCGCCCAAACTCATGTTTATTACCCGCAGCTCAACGGCGGAGCAGCAAAAAGAGGAACTCCACGACGCCGTGCGACGCCACGATTCTCTGGTGGCGGACAACCTGAAGCGGCGCAACGGCAGCGCCCATGCGACTTACGATGAAGAGGTCGCTGTGCATTTCCCTGCGTTTCAGTTGGCAATTCTTCCGCCCACGAACGGAGTGCACCGCGAGGGGCTTCGGGGGTCGCTTGCTACACATGTCACTGAAGAATTTAGACGGCTTCTTGTCCAGCCATGGACGTCGGCGGCGAAACGACATGTGCTTATTGTTGGCTCTCGAAGCGTTGGATACCTCCAAAGGCAGCTAGCGATGGATAAGGCGCATAGTGTGTTCGTTGTGGATCACGCGCTGTCGGCATTGCTGGATGCAGCTACCGCGCTGGTGCCACGGTACGGCCCGCGAGTGCATTTTGTTCGCAGCGACGCACCATTTTTGCTGCAGCGCCTCATGCCGCCTACCACAGCCGATGTGTGCGTCGTGCCGATGCCTGTCCCCTTCTGGTCGGAAAGCGGGAGTTACCGACGTCTTGTTACGCGGGAATTTCTTTGTTTGGTCCACAGAGTGCTGAGGGTGCGTGAGGGTCCTGCAGATCCGCGCGGAATTGTCACGTTTACAGACACCGCACCACTCGCCGAGTTTATGATGGAGCAGCTGGAGGAGAGCAGACTGATTGTCCCGTGGACGCGGAAGGACCCCGCAGAAAGTTATGGCCGCTGGCTGCCGATTCAGAGCCCGCCGGACCGCGAGTTTCAACAGCAGCGTTTGGGCGACGTCGTTGCGTGGGCCGCCTCGAAAAGCGGACCGACTTCAACGCAGGCCGAAGAGGCCGTGCAGTCCTTCGACTACAAACGGCGCTACTACCGTGCACTCTCTCGAGAAGAGGCGTGACAAACCACAGTGCGTGACTTTCTGCGGAGCAATGTTGATGCGGTGCTGAAAATGAGAGGGAACGTACATAGCTCTCTTGCACAACAGCCTTGCGTCGTCTCCGTTACGCACATGCACGCTTCATTTCCAATTGCCACCCTCTTTTGTCAGTCCATCTTATTAGATATTGCATTGTGTGTACTTCTCACCATTGTCGCCAACGTTCTTTTTTTTATATTTTTGTTGTTGTTGTTGTTGTTGTGGTGGTGGTGGTTGTGGTTTGAGAAGGGAGCGGGGTGGGTTGGGGAGCTTGAAGCGTAGAAGCAGCGAGGAGCGGAAACAAGTACAGGTAGGTCTTTCTCTTGAAACCCAAACAGGGGCGCCCAGAAGTACGCATTTAATCCATGTACAGGAAGAACGTTTGTGTTGCCATATTTAATGAGGACCTTCGCTTTCTTGGGTGCAGGCGCATTCAAGACAATTTATTTCAGTTTGTGCAGGGCGGAATAGAGAAGGACGCCGATCTCCTCCATGCCGCGTACCGCGAGGTGTACGAAGAGACTTCTCTTCGTAAGGAGGACCTTCACTTCGTGGGGGAAGTTCCGCCGCCCAGCGGTGATCCGAGGGAGTTCCGCTACGAACTTCGCCGCACATCAAATCTCCGGAACTTTGGTTTCCAGGGCCAGGAGCAGCGCGTCCTGCTTTTCTTCACAGACTCCGGCAACATCGAGAAGGTGAACGTCATTCCACCCAAAGAAACCTGCGCGCAACAGGAGTTCTCTCAAGTCCACTGGATGGAACTAAGGGAGATTATTGACCGCTGTCCGAGAGAAAAGCTTCACATCTTTCTTGCCGTGGCCAAGGTGGGAGTCCCCATGGCACGGGCTTTTCTGCAGTCCCGTTCAGCTCTTTAAAAGGACAGTATTTAGGAGGAAGAAGAGGAAGAGAGAGGTTGTGGTAAATAATTCCCTTTGCTTTTTTTTTTTTTTTTTGCTCTTTTGCTCTTTTGCTTTTTATTATTATTATTATTATCATTGCACACTCACACGCCGCAGTGGGAGGAGAATAGAAGAGGAGGAGGAGGAGGGGGGCGGCGGCGGCAGCCTAAAAGTCATTCATTCATGTGCATGCATCATACGATGCGTGGCGGAGGGGAAGTGGACGAAATACAAAAAGAGAGAGAAGAGGGGGGGGGGGGCGTGGAGGGATACGGAAATATAAAATTTATATCAAAAAGACATCTTTTTTTTTTTTTTTTTTTTTTTTTTTTTTTGCCTCCCTCTACTTTCTTCATGCCTAATTACATGCATATATTTATTTTTATTTATATATTTATATTCCTTACTTTTGTTATAACGTTTGTTGCTGCTCTGTTTTACGCCCCCCACGTGCTGAAAAAAAAAAAAAAAGGTTTCATGCATGGCTGTTCCTCCACAAACGCGCGTGCGCCCTCCTCGCATTTTTTTTTGTTGTTTGTTTTTTTCTACCGTCTTTTTTTTTTTGGCTCTTTTTTGTGTTTGTTGTCCACCGCCGTTGCCGTTGCCATCAACCAACAGGGGCCGTAACGGGTGTGATGGACTCGGCAAGGGAGGCGCTGCTTGCCGAGACGAAGCGGCTTCTCGCAGCGCTCAACGACGAGAACAGAGAACTGAAGGCGGAAAACACGCGGCTTCTCGCCCGGTGCAAAACGGCGGCCGAGAGGCTCACATCCGTCAGTGTGGAGAAGGAGGGGCTGGAGAAGGACCTGAAGCACATAAACTTCAACCTCATGCATCAGCTGCGGGTGAAGGTGAGTGCCGTGAAGGAACATGAGCGGCGTGCGGCGCAGCTGCAGGCAACTGTGACGGGTTTAGAGGCGCAGCTGCAGGAATCCCGGCTGGCGCAGGAGTCTGCCGTGAAGGAGAGCAAGATGCAGCGTGAGCAGATCGCCGTGTTAGAGAGCAGACTCCAGCAACTGACGGAGCGGCTCTTTCGCACGGAGGCGGAGGCCGGCAAATACGCCGACGATCTCAACGCTGCGATCTCGGGCCATCGAGAGGCGGTCGCGAAGATCCAACACGACGGCGCAGAGCGGCTGAAGCAGGTTGAGGAGGCGCTGCGAGTGAGTCGGGGCAATGAGGCCGGTCTGGAGCGTGTCGTGGAGGAGCTGCGGTATGAACTCGGCCGCGCGAAGGAGGTGCTGCGGCAGAGTCACTGCAGTAGCAGCGAGGGTCAGCGGCGCACCCTCTCAGCCCGATCAGAGGCCCTGTACGCGCATGAGCAGGTTCTCACAGCGTGCAACGCGTCCTGTCAACAATTGCGGGAGCTACAGCAAAAACTTCGAGGCCTGGAGAGCCTTGCCACGAACGCGGGTCACCACGTGGAGCAAACTTTAGAAAGAGGGGAAGCAAGGCTGCGGGAGCAGATGGAACATTTTATCGGCACGGATGAGGCACTTGTGGCTTTTCTCTGCCAACGTATTATGGATCAGGAGGGGGCGTTGCACGCTGCGCGGGAGGAGCTTGCACGTGCCCATCACCGTCTCAGGGAAAGTGAGGGGGAACTTCACAAATTACGCACTGAAAAGCAAAGTTACGAGTCGGAGCTGAAGTCACTTACGGCTTTACAGCAGGAGATGCAAACAATGCGAGCGGAACGACAAGCACATGGTCGCATAGAAGAAGAGCTGCGTGCGGAGGTTGGGCGATGGCGGCATGAGGCAGAGCGTAGTGCGAGTCAAGTGACGGAGTTTAGACGTCTGTTACAGGAACAACGGGAACAAAGTGAGGCTGCAGATCGCATTCACAAGCGGGAGGAGGACGATGTGGATGAGCGGCTGCGGGAGTTCTCAGCTGCCGTATCGCAGGCATTGCGCAAGTTTGACTCTACGACGCGTCACCGCCGTCGTCTCTCGTCCTCTGCGGGAGGTGTGACGTTGTCACATGCGCCGTCCACGCAGTTGACGGAATATGCCCCTGACGGCAACACGTCGTCGCCGTCGGTGGTGCGTGTGGAGCCTTCATCCGGCGCACTGAGCCACACATAGAAGGTAAATCGTTGAGCGCATTGTGAATACATGTAGACATCATAATAAATATATGAATGTGAGGCAATGCGTGATGGGCTTATGGAGTTGTTATGTTTGTTTTATTGGGGAATAAACGTGATCTTTTTCTTATATTGTTTCTCCTGTCCCTTCGTTCTCCATTTCTTTCTCTCTCAGTGTGTGTGCGTATGATTTTTGGCTCTCTGAGTTTAATAACTTTTGGCTCTAACCAACAACAACAAGAACGATATTGTTAAGAGTTTAAGAGTACAAAAAGGAATACAGAATCAATAAACACACACACACACACCTATATATATCTATCTATATATATATATAGTGAATGGTGTCCTTGCGATATTTGCGGGAGCAGCAGGAAGCAGCGATGCGGCGCGCGCGCTTTGAGGAGGCGCGACGTATCGGGAGTGCGATTGGAGTGCAACGAGCCCGCGCGTACGCGGCGCAGAAAAGTGCACAGGCAGTCAAGGTGCGAGAAGACATGCGAAAGCAGTGGGAGTGCGAGGTGCAGCAGCAGGCCGCGCTCATTGATCGGGTCCTGTACGACGGACAGTCGAGACTCGGTGAGGGGATGCGGGGGGCGGCTGAATTGACGGCGGCGCAACAACGACATGCGAGCGACGAGATAAACGCTTGGGTGGCCGAACACGCGTTGGAGCGGGAGAGGCACCGCATCGCACGGGCTACGGAGCGTGTCACGCGGGCACTACAAGATGAGCCGCATCGTAGCATTGTGGGGCGCAAGAAAGCGGTGCGGGAGGTGGAGGACAAACGCAGCAAGACGAGGATTGCCCGGCCGTCGCCACGTCCGCCGTCTTTTGCGTCACACGGCTCTCCACTTGCCGGGGCTCTCTCGCACACGGCAATTATGCAAGCACGCACACCGACACCAGTCGCAAGTGTGGTGATGGTGACGGCAGATAATGATGACAGACATCGCAGGGCGGCGCGCGGTGAGGCTGCTGCCGTGCAGTTTGCCGAGGAGCGGAAACGAGAACTGGCGGGCGAGAGGGAAAAGCTTCAGCAGTGTCAACGCGGGGCAGCGGAGCGGGCGGCGGCGTACTTGTCGGAGCGCGATAAGGAAGCGAAGGAGGCACGCGAAGCAGCCAGGCGGCGGGCAGCGAATATGGCGGCACTGGAGCAGCGCATTGTCGCGGAGCCGCAGGATGACAATTCGGTGAGCGGCAAGGAGTTAGAGACACGGCGAGTAGCGGTGCTCAAAGCGCAGGAGGAGGTGGAGTTTGGGCAACTGTTTCTTAGTGGGCCGTTGCCTCTTAACGATGAATTGAGTTTGAAGGAGGACAACGATGATGCCGATGAAATGTGTCCCTTTCCTCTCTCCAGCGTGTCGTGCCTGTTGCCTGGCGAATCAGAAGTCGTCGTGCAATTGCACCCGAGGCCCTTTCATGTGTACCCCATCCCTGAGGAGGCGCCGGCGGATGCTGATGATGCCGAAGAGAAGGCGACATCGGAGGCAGGAAGCAATGCGCCAAATGCGGTGTCCGTCGCGCCACTACCGACGCCCATGTCGCCGCAGGTGGTGGTGTCAACCAAACTGAATTCATCGCCGTTCCGCACGTTGCGGTCGTCGGAGCAGTCATTACCGCTGGAGGTGCCGCCGTCATCGTCGTTGTCACTGCCATCTCCACCACCACCACCGCCACCACTCTCTTTATGCCCCTCGGCCGCGACAGCAAAAAAGCCAGATGTTGCACAACCCAATTTGTCTACTCACGACGAGCCTCCGAACCTGGCGCTACATCACGAACAATTCCTTCGAAACCTTAAGGCGCTGCAGGACAAGCTGGCGAAGGTGTCTTCAGACAGCGCAGACGTCAATGAAACGGTGGATGTCTCTACTTGTCACGGAAACGTCACTCTTAGCTCAATGAGTTCCCCACTTTCAATGGCACGGCGCCCTGGAAAAGAGACGCGTGAAGATGAATATGAGGCCGGTGCAACAAGTATTGACACCAGTGCTAACAGTGGAAGCAGCAGCAATGGTGGTAGTAGCAGTACCAGTAGTAGTGGACCTTCCACGTCGTCCGTGTACTCTCGGTCGTATCCCACCATGACAGCGGAACAATTAAAGGCTGCTTTGCTTAAACTGAAGTTGCGCATGCGTTCTGCTTAGACCTATAGAAGAAATATCCAGAAGAAGAGAAACATATATATATATATATATATGTAACGGCAAGAAGAGGCGGGTCAATACAATAGATGCAAAGAAAGAAGGAAGAATTATTATTCTCATCATTAATTACCACGAATTATGATTTACCGGGTTTTGTTTCTGGGGAAACGTTTGGGTGAGGGGGGGCCCATGAGGTATCGTCCATATTCAGCTGCATAGATGCACATATGATAGAGCCCTGTCTAGAAGCTATTGGAGGGGATTTGTTGTCAAGGGATCCCTCACCTCCTCCAATAAAGTTATATATTTGTTTGGCATATTTTAATACCCCCCTGATAATTTTGGTCCTTCTTTTTTGTTTGTTTTTTCTTCTTTGGGGGAGGGGTCTCTTTGGTAATTGTGGGTGACACGAATTATATGGCGAGCGTGACTGACGATGTGGATATTCTTTTTTTTTTTTTTTTCTTTCTTTTACGCTCTGAAGCTTAGGTGGAGCCGAGGATAATTTGAATTGATGCGACGCATCGCACTGTGGCCTCACAGGATTTGTGCGGCGCGGTTTTTTCACTTCAGTCGCCCCCGATGGGGGACCATCATTCCGTACAAGCTGGCTGACATTGGCGAGGGCATACAGAAGGTGGATGTGGTGACGGTCTTTGTGAAGCCGGGGGAAAAGATTGAGGAGTTTGACAAGATATGTGAGGTGCAGAGCGATAAGGCGTTGGTGGACATAACCTCCAGGTACGCAGGGGTCATCAGGGCTGTTCACATAACGGTTGGGGAGTCTGCGCTGGTCGGTCACCCCCTCGTTGATATCGAGGTCGACGACGACGTGAAGGATGACGCCTCAGGAGCTGAGCCCCAACCGCAGGAAGCGGCTGCCGTGGCAGAACCCACCACCACCGCCACCGCCAGCAGCAGCAGCCCAGGGAAGCAGAAGATAAAGGCGACAAGTACGACCCCCACCACCACCGCAGTGAAACCGTTGGCCACCCCTGCGACGAGAGGTTTTGCACGTGAATGCGGTGTCGACCTTGAAAAGTTGTCAGGTACGGGTGAGAATGGGCGCATTTTAAAGACGGATGTCTTGGCACACGCGCAGAGTCATGGCAACGATGAGGGCGATGTGGTGGTTTCACTCCTCACGGGCATCCGCCATGTAATGGTGAGCACCATGACAGAGGCGGGAAAGATTCCAAGCTTCACAGCGTGTGACGAGATTGAGTTGACGTCTCTCTTGAAGTTTCGTGAGGAGCTAAGGAGAAACCTGACGCCACGCTCTCCCGGTGACGCAACTCCAAAATTATCGTTGTTGCCTCTATTTATCAAAGCGGCATCTTTGGCGTTGCTGCAGCACCCGCAAATCAACTCACATGTCTCTCAAAAATGTGAGAGTTTTATTATAAGGAAGGCACATAATATTGGCTTCGCTGTCCACTCGCCAAAGGGTTTGATCGTTCCAGTTGTTCGAAACGTGGAGCAGAAAAGTACCATGGACATTGTGCAGGAGGTAAACGAGTTGGTCGAATTGGGCCGCAAGAATCGAATCCCACCGGAACACATGCGTGACGGCACATTTACCATCAGCAATGTCGGCACCATTGGGGCAACGTACGCCACACCAATGATTTTTCCACCGCAGGTTGCGATATCTGCATTTGGGCGACTGCAGGTTTTGCCCCGATTTGACGTCGACGGCAATGTTGTAAGGGCAAATATTGTGCACCTCTCAAGTACGGCGGATCACCGCGTCATTGAAGGCGCGGCCATGGTGCAGTTCAACAATGCATTGAAGGGCCTTCTTGAAAACCCACAGCAGTTGATTGCGTAGACACCACCACCACCACCACTACCCAAAAAAAAAAAAAAAAAGAATTAAACATTTTCTTTTTTGTTTTATGTTGTCAATATTACTTTTGTTACTATTTATTATTTGTACTATTGACGGAGCAGTCATTGTTCCTGCGATGCTGTGTTCTGCAAAGAGGGGGTCTCTGCGTGGGAGTGGGGTAGGGAGAGAGAGAGAGAAAGAAAGAGCGAGCGAGCGAGCGAACGAGATATATATGCTGAGAGAAGACGGATTTGTCTTTTTTTATTTTTATTATTTTTTTTTTTTTTTTCATTTATTTTGTTGTTGTTGTTGTTGCCACAATAATGTGACGACGACTGCGTGAATATCTCCACATGTGTGTTTGTATGCGTCTACATGTGAGAGCGTACGAATGGTCCTGCGAGTCTCTGTTTTCACTGGTGTTTGCGCCGGGTCGTGTTGTCATGCTGTCAAGAGTATCATTAGCCGAAGGGAGACGAACAAACACAAACAAACAGCGAGGAAAAGAGAGAAAAAAAAATGGCGGATAGTGACGAGAACCCTTTCGTGGTTGACCACACGGATGGGAACACGGGGCCCTTTTTGACGGCCACAGAATTGCCACCACCTGCGGCCGCGGGCGGAAGTGAGGGAGGAAGGGTAAAAGACGAGCCACAAAGACAACAGCAGCAGAAGGATGTGGAGGAGGCGAAGGGAGACGTGTCGGGCCTTATCCCGCTCTGCGTGCAGCATGCCAGTGGGCCACAGATAAACAGCGCCGTCTTTGGATATGACATCGCGCAGATGCAGAAGCGCCCATGGGACGACCCCGCGGTAAACCTCAAGGACTACTTTAACTACGGCTTCAACGAGACCAGCTGGAGGCTGTATTGCGCGATGCAGGCAGGGGGCGAGGCATCGCTGCTGACGGGGACGAATGCCTTTTTGTCACAACCAGCCGGCCCTGCAATGAAGAACAACGCCATGGAGGAGGTTGTGGAGGGAGACGGAGCGTCGTACTATGTTCCGCCCCAAGGATCCTCCCACGCGTACTACGCTGCACCGCGTGATAACTTCCTCAAGACAAAGCTCTGTCAGCGCTTTGCGCTAGGCCGTTGCGTGAAGGGTGATCAATGCAGCTATGCCCACGGGCACGGTGAGCTGCGATCTGCCCCCCCGGTGCAGCATCATCATCAACAGCAGCAGCAGCAGCAGCAGCAGCAGCAGCAGCCTCCGTCATGTATCCTTCCCCCCTTTCATGTAGAACAAGGCTACATGCCATCGATAGGTATGCCGCCGACGGGTGTTCTCGAGCCCACTGTTGCGGGCAACTACCACGTGATGCCCAAGCGCCAACGCTCTCCCGATGGCGCTGAGGGGCAGGTCTACGATGCGTCGTACTAAATCATTGAGTATACAAGAAGAGGAGGACTTTGGGGGAGTGGCTGCTTTTTCTTTGGTGTGGAAGAGGAGATGGTGTCACTGACTTATAATAAGAAGAAAAAAAGGAATAAAAGAATGCAAATGAAACGACGGGGGCTCTGTGTCTCTGTGAGGAGCTTTTGTTGTTGTTGTTTTCGTCGTCGTTGTCGTCGAGGTGGCTTTCGATGAGCCGAGTCTTTTTTCTCTTTCTCCGTGTTTGACATGCATTTCTTTTGCTGCGGCTTTCCGATACTTTGCCCACTCTTCGCTTGGAATAGGGTTACAGCCACACAGGAAGGAGGGAAGGAAGGAAGGAAGGAAGATTGCGAAGAAAAAGACAGGCACCCTTCCTTTGTCTCCACGCAAACACAGAAAGAATTTTAAGTATACATCTACACCCACACAATAAGGAGGGGTTATATAATTAAATACACACGTATAACGCATGCAGTCTCTCGGAAAGAGTTTTCAACGCTCTAAAAAGGCCTCGCAACGCAGCCAGCGCGAAAAGTACCGTGGGCTGCTGGAGGCTGAGCGCAATGCAGCCATATTACAGGAGGAGGAACGTCAGCAGCAGCAGCGACAAAAAGGTGCCCCGTTAAAGTCCATTTGGGAGACAAATAATTTAGAGGAGTTCCTCCTCATTGCGGATGCACGCGAAAAGGGGTATGAGGCGGAACGGGATATCCGTGTTGTGGTTGACGGAACCCCACATGTCGTCACAAATGACAAGGTACTGCCGATGAGCAAAGAAAGCGTAGACTGGCTCAAGCTCAGCGAGTTGCTGACAATACCGCGTCGACCCAAATGGGAATACGGCATGTCAGCTGAGGCGGTACAGGCGATGGAGACATCGGCGTTTTTTGACTGGAGGAGGCTTCTTGCGAAGATGGAAGAGGAGCACAAAGTTGTCATGACGCCATATGAGAAGAATCTGGAGGTGTGGCGTCAGTTGTGGCGCGTCGTGGAACGGGCGGATGTGGTGCTGATGATTCTCGACGCCAGGAACCCACTCGTGTTTCGGTGTGCAGATTTCGAGGCGTATGTGCGAAGCACGTGCAATGCGGCAGGGAAGTCAAAGGAGATTATATTCCTACTGAACAAGTCTGATCTTCTCACGGAGAGTCAACGCAGCGAGTGGGCGACGTATTTCGCGGAGCGTGGGGAGCCGTTCATTTTTTTTTCCGCCGCTCCTGCCGCAAAGGCAAACTCGGAAACGGCCGGAGAGAAGGATGGGAGCAGGACGGCAACTCAGGAGGGAAAGCAGAACGAGGAAGCGGACGATGGCGACGAGGAAGAAGACGCGTTTTTGGATGCTGACGGCCACCAATTGGATGACAGTTGTGTTCCCGAACTTTTGCGGCACCGAAGGGAGAAACGTCGGCACAACAAAAAGTCGCTGCGGGCCCCGGTGGAGGTGGCGAACCCTTATGAGCTCGTCGAGCAGCGACGGGCAGAGAAGGCGCGCCGCAGCCAAGAAAAGCAACAAGCGTCGAGAGTGGCGCCACTGCCGACAGAGAGCGAGAAGGCACGTGATGCGCGGGTGTCGCAGCTGCAGGCGCTGCATCCATGGGCCGTTTTGGACCCTGTGCAGCTTCTAGACCGCCTTGCTCTCTGGCGCACCGTTTATGGAATAAAGGATGCGAACACACCGCTTATGGTTGGCCTTGTTGGATACCCCAATGTCGGGAAGTCATCCACGATCAACGCGATTCTCGGCTGTAAGAAGGTGGTGGTCAGCGCGACACCGGGCAAAACCAAACACTTCCAGACACTTGTCATCCCAAACGAACGTCGTGTCGCCTTGTGTGATTGCCCGGGTCTTGTGTTCCCGTCGTTTGCGTCGACACGGGAACAGATGGTCTGTGACGGCATTCTGCCCATCGATACGGCCACCGATGCCTTGTCCGCTGTCAACGTATTATGTCGCCGTATTCCGCGCGAGGTTCTGCAGAAACAATTTGGTGTGTCACTGCGGGCTGAGGACGATGTGGACGAGAGTCATTCCTTGGTGGAGCGCTTCCTCAACGCATTGGCACGTAGGCGTGGTTACTTGGGGGCACACGACAGGCCAAACAAGTCCCGTGCCGCCCGGGATGTGCTGAAGCTGTATGTGGATGGTGCTCTTTTGTACGTTGAGCCCCCTCCCAACTACGCTCCCTCCAAAGATGCGGGTGTCGTCGGCTTACCTGCTGCGCATGTGGATGGAAAAGACAGTGATGGGTGGGAAGATGTTGAATGCGACTGCCACGATGATGGCAGCGACGGTGACGAGTGGGACGATCTTGACAGTGCGGCGGAGGCCCGGGCCATTAGCGAGGAGGGCGATATGTCGGTGGATGCTCATGCCGATAAAAATGACGAAGAGGATGAGGACTTTGACAAGGCGGCGTCGCTGATGTTTTACGCGCGGCCGAGTGGCATCCGCGGGGTCCTCACCGCGCAGGAAGCGTTCAATGCAGAGGCCAATGCGAACCGCATAAGGACACTGACGGGCGCCGCGCTTCGGCGGAAGAAGCGCACAAACCACCAGCTCGATCCCGTCATGGATACGTTTGTGAACAATGATGGTGAAGTGGAACTCATCATCGACGACGACGACGGCATCATTGAGCTTGTCACGGACAACTCACGACAAAACGCCGAAGGGAAAAAACAACAAAAAACGCAGCAAAAACAGCGGAGTAAGCGCCAGATACGCCGTGAACTAAAGCGGTTGGGTGCGGGGCCGGTCAATCCCACCTCACGCAAGATGCAAGTTCAGGGCTACTAGCCCGGCGATTGAGTAGTAATCATGGAAGCAAGGATGGAGAAAAAAAAAAGAAAAAAAGGGACGTACTACAATAAATTAACCCCAGAGGAGGAAAAGAAGGGAACTGAAAAAAAAAAAAACAAGGAAGGACTTCCATCAGCGCGAAGGATGGTAAGTAATAACCCTTTTTCCTCACCCCATTATTGCTATTGTTATGAGTAATGGTTGTGGCAGTGCCAACGAAGGCTGGAGGATGAACACAGTGACGGCCTTTCTTTAATTGGCTTTTGTCCTTTTGGAATCTGATATATATATATATATATATTAGTGGTGCTCCACCGTGTTGGATCGTCTGTGCATGAATTGGCCGCCGTCGGCAACCCGTATGACGCGAAAGGAAGGCGTATTAAAGTCAGCGGCTTTGGTTTGCGGATGTCTCTGCTGTTGGCGATTCCCACGGGTTGTTCCAACATCCATTGTGATTTTTCCGTGCTGATCAAAGGATGGGAGGAGTACACGTGCATCGCACGACGGACTCTCTGGGTGAAAGGGGTTGTTGAATAAGGTGCGTCACCTCTTGCCACTCTTCGAATGCCGGGACCGCCAATTCTGCACACGCCATTGGCCTCGCTTCCCTCCGTGCGATTGAAGAAATGTTGAAGGAATTGACGCGTGTGTAATGGGGCACACTGTGGAGCTTTTGACCCCCTGCAGAGGAGAAGGGAGGGGAGTCCGACGGGCCTAACGAGACTGCAGCCGGCGGTGGGGCCGGAGTCCGAGCGCGTTCCGTGGAATCCTCTCACGGAGGCCCTACGCCGTCTATTGGCGGAGTGGCTTCCCCGGTGGGAACGAATATTGCGTCACACGTCATGGACTTCTCGCCGGCACGGTAAACTCTTGTTTTACACGATGCCTGAGAATTGTTTTCTTTGTGGGAGCCGCTGTTTTTTGTCGTAGCGCATTGGGCAGCTCTTATATTATTGTTTTTGTGGTTGTTTCTTTCCTTTTTTGTGTGTGTGCATTTTGTTTGTCTACTGGATTGCGAGAAATAACATTCATGCGGTTTTTTTTTTTTTTTCATTGTTTTATTTTACGTGTGAGGAGCTTGCGTAAGCCACATTTGCACAAATTCCCTGAGGGGAGTGGGGCGGCATCACAAACAAACAAACAAACAAAAAAGGGGGGGGGTTTAAGAGGGAAAAAGAAAATGACTTCAAAGACCCCGTCGAGGCGACTGACGGACATTTTACGCAGCAACAGCAAAGAGACACTTCTGCGCAATGCCGCCGAGTTAGCCAGAGTGTCCACATCCCTCACGGCGGAGAAGTTACAGACACGCTTTCTCCGCAACATGCACCTCATCAGTCCCAAGTCGCTCCGATTGCTATGCGATGACGCCGTGTTATCCCGCTGGTTTGCTTTTGCCGTGTACAAACCGCCTTTCTGCCCGATGCGCCGTGCGGAGGCTGATAAGAACTATCACCATGTGTCGGTTGAATCTTTCGTGGAGGCGGCGTTGCGTTCCCGCACAGTGCAGCCTGTCTTGCAGCGTGAGCTTCAACCGGAGGAGGTGAAGGTGCGTGTCTTAAATAATGTGGACATGTACGCATCCGGTCCGGTGGTGGTGACACTGGCCGACCGGCACCCCTTCTCGACATCGTTGCAGTCTGTGACTATGCGGTATGACGTCCTTGTTGCCGGGCACATGCCGCTGAAAGAGCCGCGTCCAGTGGAGGCCGACCACCTCTTCGCTCCGATGCATAGAGACAGCAACACGGAGGGCATTTGCAGTCACCCTGACACCACGGCACGTGCGACGCGATTGCCGGCGGAGGCGGCGCCGTCGTCGTGTGTATGTACGTATCAGGTGAGACGGAATGCGTACTACTCGGTGCACCCAGTCAGTCTTCTGGAGTTCACCATCACGGCGCCACCGACTCCGCTTCCTCCTCGCCTTGAGGCATTTGTTTGCGACCACCTCGGCACCTTTGTCTTGGGCGACTCCGACACCCCGGCGACCAAACGAAGGACGAAAAGAACGGCGAAGGCTCCATGCACCACGTCGGAATCGACAGACAGGGCGCAGGCTGCGGCGAAGGCGTCACGAAGCGTCGTTGCAATGCATGGCGACTGCGATTTCCCACGTGTATTTACACATCTGCGAGAGGTTAGCATTCAAACCAATGTGGCGGATGTGGCTGGTGGCTTCGCAGCAAAGAAACTAATTGAATTCCACTGTCGCAAGTGCTTTGAGCCTATTCTCCAGAGAGAACGAATTTATAGTCTTAAGGGGCGGCGTATCGGGTTGCTGGACGGCTCCTGGACACCCGAGGCCGAGTTTTTGTGAATCGTGTAAAACAGCCGCCGCGCACACTCTTACCGAACAGAAGTGGGCCTCATCTCCTTTCTCCCTTCCTTTGCCTGATGTGGTGTGTACCGATGCGTGTAAATCAACGGATACATGCCGTAAGCATTCTGTTTATTTTTTTTTTTTGTTGTTTTGTTGTTGTTGTTGTTCTTGCCCCTGCTCCCAGCACACACAATTAGGATGCCCAAAAAGACCGGTGGGAAAAAGAAGGGGCAAAGTTCTCCGGATGGCTCTGAGCCGCGGAAACGAAAGAACAACAAAAAGGCGACAATGGAGCCGCGGGACGTGGATGAGATGCAGAAGCTGCAGGAACTTTTAGGGGACGAGGAACAGCCGTTGGGTGTCTCCAAGAAATCGCTAGAGGGCTTATTGTCCCTTCGGCAGCCGCAGGAGTTGGCGGTGAGGCTTGCGCAATCTCTCTCCTCCCTGCGCACGCGGCTTGCGGAGTTGGAGTTGGAGAGGCTTAACCGTGGGAGCGAGGCGCCGGGGCTGTCGAACATCGTGGCACGCCGCGCGCAGGAAAAGGCGGAGAAGCTGGAGCTTGAGATCCAAAAGACGGAGCGGATAACGCGCCGCCTGAAGATCATGTCAAATTTGGTGGGACGCATCATTCGCTTGCGTGAGAAAACCCTTACGGAGACTCACACGGCGATGGAGGCGGAGGTGCAGTCTCTTCAGGAAAAGATCCGGGTCAATGAAGAGCTGATACGTGAGCGTTTCGTGAGCCGCGTCAACATGCTGCACCGCTATTGGCTTTGGCGCACGCTACAGGAGCTGGGAGACCAGACGGTGGGCTGGACATTTGAGGAGGAGCTCGCACGCGGTCCGCGGTACCGCACTCTGGGGGTGCAGAACAACATTGTCTCGGAAACTCTTGAGCAGCAGCTTTCGTGGCTGCTTGTGTTCGCGGAGAAGGAGAAGATCTTCCGCGAACACGTGCGTCGCCTCGAGCTCCTCGTAGAGGAATTAACAGACATCAATGACGCCCTGGAGGAGGCGTTGACGTGTCGTGTGTGCGGTCTGTTGTTTGAAGACCCAGTTCTGTTTTGGCCGTGTGGCCACGTCTTCTGTTTGGTGTGCTTTGACACGCTGAGCATCGCGCCGAGTCTCTTCCGCTGCCCAACGTGCGGTAGCATCGGCAGCGAGGGCTACGTGCACAACCTCCTCATTGCGGAGTCCGTGGCGAAGTGGATGTTTAAGGACGCGGGTTATGGCGACATTCACGGCGCACTGAGCCTCATCCGCCTGCACCTTTCGAAGTTCCGCAAGGAAGTCATTTCATCGCGTGTCGCACAGCTCCGTCAGCAGCTCACGGAGGCACGGCAGAAGGAGACAAAAGTGGAGGAACTGTCGCAGATGGACATTACATACCGCGACTTTTGATGGTGCGAGAGAGGGCAAAGAAGGCGACGCAACGCTCCCGCCACCCCATCCCTGCAGCCCCGAATGCAAATGAGCCTGCTGCTTCTCTTTTAGTTTTTGTTGTTGTTTGCCGGTCTATGCGTGTTGTTTTGGGAAATGGCGTTTGCATGTTGTGTTGCCTCTGGGGAATAACCGCCCTTTGCAATGTATAGGTGTGAGTGCAATTCATCGCTGGTTGCACACACACACACACACACACAAAAGAAGAAAAAAGAAAAAGAGAGGGCAGAGAGACAGTCCGACATTTTTGCCTTTTTTTTTTCTTTTTTTTTTTTTTTTACCCCTGTTAGTCTTGTTTAATGTTGCTTTTTCTTCTTCTTTCCTTCTTTTCTTTTTGAAATGTTCTCTTTACATACATGCATGACTTACGGACGGACTTTGATTGCGTTACTTTAATTGTGTTTATTTCTTTGCATTTATTGTTTTGTTTTATTGTTTTCACCCACTCTTTTTTTTTCTTTCGTTCTTTCAGTCTGCACGCGTGTGTGTGTGAATTCCACGTCATGGACGAGGATCGACGCAGGGCGAAGCAAAAGAGGAACCAACAGCGTTGGCTGGAGCGACAGGAGCGGTCGCGGCTGAATCGCGCGGAGATTCGCGAGCTCCGAACGCGAATTGAGGAGTTACGCGCCCTGTTGGACTCCGCGGAGGGTGGCGACAGGCCCGGCGGGAATCAGAAGGCGGCAGGGGAGCCGCCCGCATACACGCACTTCAATCAGCTGCCCTTGTCGCAGCGCACTCAACTCGGCCTTGAGCGTGGCGGCTACAAGCGCATGACGCCCATTCAGAGCGACGCACTGCATCTTGCGCTCGCCGGCTATGACGTGCTCGGTGCGGCCAAGACGGGCTCCGGCAAGACGTTATGTTTTGTCGTGCCTGTGCTCGAGCGGCTTTTTGTCGAGCAGTGGGACACGGCGATGGGCGTGGGGGCACTTGTCTTAAGCCCCACCCGTGAGCTCGCGCTGCAGATATTTAAGGTGCTGCAGCTTGTCGGCTACAAGCACACACACTCCGCTGCGCTTCTTACGGGCGGCCGGGACGTGGAGGAGGAGCGGAAGCGCCTGGCGGCGATCAGCGTTATTGTCGGGACGCCCGGTCGCGTTCTGCACCACCTCGAGGACGACGCGGACCTCGTGACCGACAACATGCAGTTGTTTGTCATGGATGAGGCGGACCGGCTGCTGGACATGGGCTTCCGTGATGCGATCTGCGGTATTATGCGGCACCTGCCAACAGCACGGCAGACGCTTCTTTTTTCTGCGACGCAGACGACGGATGTTCAGATGCTTGCGCAGATGTCGTTGCGGAATCAGCGATATGTCACGACACACGCCTCCACTGCCGCACCCACGCCGGCAACACTCTGCCAGAACTTCATTGTGGTCGAGCTGCACCGCAAGTTAGATGCCCTCCTTATGTTTCTCAAGCGACACCCGAATGACAAGACCGTCGTCTTTGTAAGCACCTGTAATCAGGTGCGGTATATGTATCTTGCCTTCTCCAAGATTTTAAAGAAGATGCGTATCCCTTCTATGTGCCTTACAAGCAAAATGAAGCAGTTCCGTCGAGAGGAGGTCTTCTTGACGTTCTGCCGCTGCAAAGCTGCCGTTCTCTTCTGCACCGACATTGCCGCGCGCGGACTGGATTTCCCGCTTGTGCATTGGGCCGTGCAGTATGACTGTCCCGACAGCGCACAAACGTACATTCACCGTGCTGGGCGTACCGCACGCGCTGGGGCACGTGGGGTGAGTCTGCTCTTTTTAACCCCGCAGGAGACTCCTATGTTGTCTTTCCTCGCGCATAAGCATATTCCACTGCGGGAGATCGCCATTCGTCCCGGGCTGCTGCAGGAGTCAAAGGAGATATTCGTCGCGTTGGTAGTGCAGGGACTCAAGTACGAGGCGCAGAAGGCCTTCATTGCGTACCTCCGCTCCGTCTACTTCTCCGCCAACAAACTTGTTTTTGACGTGAACGCCATTGATTTTGATGCCTTTGCACACTCGCTCGGTCTGTTGAAGGTGCCTAACATGGCGGAGCTGCGGAACCTGCGACGTGGGGCGAAGAACTTGCCCTGGGACGTCGTCAACTACATGGCCCGGCAACAAGGGCAACAGGAGGCGCAGAAGCAGCAACACGTCACTCGCCGTGAGAAGCATCTTGGCGCGTCCGACATGTTCCGCACACTTCAGCAAAAACAACGCTACGCCGTAAGGGATGACGATGATGATAATAATAATAATAATAATAGTGCTAGTAATGAAGCGAAGGGTCGGTGCGTTGGCCCCGGCCGTGGCGACGACGACGATGAGGAGGAGGAGTATGATGACGGGTTCCTCGTGCAGCATCGACGGACAAACAACACCCACCAGAGGCGTGACAACACCAACAACGACGGTGACGAGTCGCAGCAACAGGAGGCGGCATCCATGCGATTGACTCCGGCGGAGCGCATCGCTGGTCTCTCGAAGCGGAAGGTGCGGAGGTTCATCCAAGCGGCGGACTTGCGGGTGCGGGACCTCGGCCTCAGCGAGCGCATCGTCTTTGACGACGAGGACGAAGAGGAGGAAGAAGAGGAGGACGAGGAAGCCAAAAAGCGCCGCGTTGCCCTCCTCGCAGCGGCGGTGGCGTCGAAGAGTGAGAGAAGCGAAGACGAGGGCGACGACGACGACTACGCGGGACGGCTGCGGGAGCGCGTGCTGCGGGAGGCGGAAAAGGATGCCGACCGCGCAAAGCGACTGCGGCGGCTACGGCGGCTGCAGCGCGACAGGAAAATTAAGAAAAGCACATCACTCAGCGAGGCCGGTGTGACCGCCGCGAATGGTGGCAGGCGGCCCGCCAACGGGGGCGACAACGGCGCCAGCAGCGATGAATACGACGATGACTACGAAAGCGGCAGCACCACGTCCCTCTCACGGATAATAAAAGCCGCAAAGGGCGAGTTGTACTCCGACGACGACGGCACCTCCGCCAGTTCCGAGGACGACGACACGGCGGTGCGACCAAAAAAGAAGGCCCGACACGCATACAAAACAACTAACGAGTAAACATGAAAAAAGAAGGAAAAAAAAGAAAAATTGGGACAACATTTCTCCATGCGACCAGGAATTCCTCAACAAGCACCACGAACCATTTATTTAATCAACCTCCTTCACCTCTCTGTCTTTACATGTATGTGCTCCCCACACAGTACTGATAAACACCTGCAACAAAAAAAAACACAAACAAACCAACAATCATCTCCACTTCCTTTCATGCACTTTTTTATACCACCACACAGGTAGACAACATGGCACACACGCACACACAAACAAAGAATACAACAAAAATTAAGGCACCACCACCACCCACCCACCCAAACCACAGACATAGTACCCACAGCAGTAGCAGAAAATCTCGCAATTCAATCCGAGATACAACTGCGACAACATGCCGCTGATGGGACTCCCATCTGATGGAAGATCATCAAGAACAACACACAAACCCAAAAATAATCCCACATTCGATACAACACACCCCGCAACTATAGATAGATTAGCAACGGGGATAGGAAGGGAACAAGATACTTGGGGCCGCACGGCTGACGGCCACACGTAGATATAATATATATATACATATGTGTGTGTCTGTGCGTGTGCAGTGAGGCACGCTCCCCTCTGTGATCACCAGTCCTCATGGGCGTCCAGCTGCACCTTCTCTCTCTTTTTTTCTTTTTTTCCTTTCTTTTTGCCCCTCGCCCTCACACACCACGCAGAACCAGGCAACCAAGCAACCAAGCACACGGCTAAACAACCACAGCAAGATGGCGAAGGGCAAGAAGAGCGGCGAGGCGAAGGGGACGCAGAAGCGCCAGAAGAAGATCCTGCGCGAGAACGTCCGTGGAATCACCCGCGGGTCCATCCGCCGCCTGGCGCGCCGTGGCGGCGTGAAGCGCATCTCCGGCGTCATCTACGACGAGGTGCGTGGCGTGATCAAGTCGTTCGTGGAGGGCGTCGTGCGCGACGCCACGGCGTACACGGAGTACTCCCGCAAGAAGACCGTCACGGCCGTGGACGTCGTGAACGCGCTGCGCAAGCGCGGCAAGATCCTGTACGGCTACGCGTGAGGACCCACATGTTAGAGGCATCAGTCGCGGCGGGTGGACTGGCGGCAACGCCATGCCCCCCGCAACTATAGATAGATTAGCAACGGGGATAGGAAGGGAACAAGACACTTGGGGCCGCACGGCTGATGGCCACACGTAGATATATATATATATACATATGTGTGTGTCTGTGTGCCTGTTTGCAGTGAGGCACGCTCCCCTCTGTGATCACCAGTCCTCATGGGCGTCCAGCTGCACCTTCTCTCTTTTTTTTCTTTTTTTCCTTTCTTTTTGCCCCTCGCCCTCACACACCGCGCAGAACCAAGCAACCAAGCAACCAAACACACAGCTAAACAACCACAGCAAGATGGCGAAGGGCAAGAAGAGCGGCGAGGCGAAGGGGACGCAGAAGCGCCAGAAGAAGATCCTGCGCGAGAACGTCCGTGGAATCACCCGCGGGTCCATCCGCCGCCTGGCGCGCCGTGGCGGCGTGAAGCGCATCTCCGGCGTCATCTACGACGAGGTGCGTGGCGTGATCAAGTCGTTCGTGGAGGGCGTCGTGCGCGACGCCACGGCGTACACGGAGTACTCCCGCAAGAAGACCGTCACGGCCGTGGACGTCGTGAACGCGCTGCGCAAGCGCGGCAAGATCCTGTACGGCTACGCGTGAGGACCCACATGTTAGAGGCATCAGTCGCGGCGGGTGGACTGGCGGCAACGCCATGCCCCCCGCAACTATAGATAGATTAGCAACGGGGATAGGAAGGGAACAAGATACTTGGGGCCGCACGGCTGATGGCCACACGTAGATATATATATATATACATATGTGTGTGTCTGTGCGTGTGCAGTGAGGCACGCTCCCCTCTGTGATCACCAGTCCTCATGGGCGTCCAGCTGCACCTTCTCTCTTTTTTTTTCTTTTTTTCCTTTCTTTTTGCCCCTCGCCCTCACACACCGCGCAGAACCAAGCAACCAAGCAACCAAACACACAGCTAAACAACCACAGCAAGATGGCGAAGGGCAAGAAGAGCGGCGAGGCGAAGGGGACGCAGAAGCGCCAGAAGAAGATCCTGCGCGAGAACGTCCGTGGAATCACCCGCGGGTCCATCCGCCGCCTGGCGCGCCGTGGCGGCGTGAAGCGCATCTCCGGCGTCATCTACGACGAGGTGCGTGGCGTGATCAAGTCGTTCGTGGAGGGCGTCGTGCGCGACGCCACGGCGTACACGGAGTACTCCCGCAAGAAGACCGTCACGGCCGTGGACGTCGTGAACGCGCTGCGCAAGCGCGGCAAGATCCTGTACGGCTACGCGTGAGGACCCACATGTTAGAGGCATCAGTCGCGGCGGGTGGACTGGCGGCAACGCCATGCCCCCCGCAACTATAGATAGATTAGCAACGGGGATAGGAAGGGAACAAGATACTTGGGGCCGCACGGCTGATGGCCACACGTAGATATATATATATATACATATGTGTGTGTAAGTGCGTGTGCAGTGAGGCACGCTCCCCTCTGTGATCACCAGTCCTCATGGG